GTTAAGTTATTCTTGTTTAAAGTTTTAAAAAAATTTATTAAAAAATATTTGCTTGATTTCTATTGACTCAACCCCATTTATTGATAATCAAAAAGATTCTGATTGGCTAGATTATTACTATTGTTATTTTGACAAATTTATTTTTGAACCAGAGTAGTGTAGCACGTAATTAACCAATAATATCAAGAATTTTTGAATTAGCCAAAATGAAGCAAAAAAAAAATTTTAATTAATGTTTGCAGAACTGATTCGAAAACTTGGAGCCAATCCAAAACCGGTTCATGGTTTGAATTCAGGCTCATTGTGAAGCTACTAATTGATTTTTTAAAATACGTATTCTTATGCTTTTGAAAATTTTTAATAAAAAATCTCTTAATAATTACTTGATAAAATCAGTAAAAATTTTTTATTTTAATTTTATATTTTAATAAAATTAAAATTAAAAAGGTTTATTAAATTTGGTTTAAGTTATTAAAAAATATATAATAAAATTTTAAAAAGAAAAATTATAATAATTAATTATATAATGAGAAAAAATAGGGGTATTATTATTCTTCGTTTTGCATAAAGTCATGACAATGATTTCAAATTGACTAAAAAAGTAAACAAAGTATAGATAACAAAGCCTGTTAAATAATTCTATCAACAAATAAAGTTACCTAAGTTCAAGTCTAAGTGATAACAGTATAATCACAGTACTACAAACATAGCACACAAAAGCTTAAATAATAAAAACACACCTTCTGGTGACAACAGCTCCTTTGGAGCCTCTAACACCATATCACAACACAAATCACTTCTTCGATCAGTTTCTGACACACTCTTTGGAACCTCCACACCCCCACTGATACTGTTGATCCAGAAAATCCACCTGAAGCTCCAACACCACCACCTTCAACACCTACAACCAAACGAACCAACACCAACAAAACCCATCAACCCAATCTATAACACAACCCTTACAACAAAACAAAAAGTGGGCATTCCAGCTCACCCCCAACCACAGATCAATCGGAGTCACATGACCCCAACACAGCCCCTATTAGTCAGCTAAACAAAACAACAAACCCAATACAAAGTAGACCTGACTCTACCAACTTGGACCCTATGGATTTATTCCCACAAACAAATCAAAACAGATCTACACCAGCTAGTCCAAATCAGGACAATAATGGCCTACTATCTACACAAATGGACGTGGACCCGATCCAAGCCAACACTACAACCCCAACAACAACAACCGAACCAACAACACTCCGAAGTACACCCACCCACTCCATTCTTATAGCCAAGCATTACAGAACACCCCGGCCTTAAATAATTCTGACCTTCAAATCGAACCAACACTACTATGGAATTGACAAATTACAGATGCAATCACACAAAGAAACCAGCCATTCGACAAGACAATATAGCACAATGATACAATACTTGAAGCACTACAAGACAATACAAGACTAACTGCGTTTCTCCAATACAAAGCCACCACCCAGCCTACCTCATATAACCTACTTGCATCAATCAACGCAAAATTCAACTAACTCGATACCGCCTTTTTCAAATCATTCACTAGAAATAAGCAAGCTATACCCCAAGACCAAAGAGAGTTTGAAGCCTTATTTAACCTGGCCTTAGAAAAATACAAGAGACACCACCAAACTCGCTTTATTAACAAGAATAATAGAAACTAAATTATAGACAAACTTAAAACAAAGATTACAATCGACTATATTATCAACATCGATTTTCTCAAAACAAATCCACATGAAATTACCTGCAAAATCTTTTATTGTATTAATTTCGCACGCATCGAGCCTCCAAGTAGCTTTGAGGAGACCCGATGAATAATCCATGGTATATTAACTGACAGATTACAACCCCTTCCAGACTCCATCGAAGACATACATGATGACATCAAAGCAATACTACCTTTTAACTTACCAATCCAAAACCGCAATTAGTCCAAAGCAGTCACTGCAGCATTTCACAAGATCTACAAATTTGAGACCCTACCTGAATCATTCTTCGTAGAATAGCTAATGACCCTCCCAACAGACCCATCCGAACTACACCCCTCGGTTCGAGACCTCTTTCCAATTACAGAGTGCTCTGCACTTCCACACCTGTCCCAATATAGAAAAAAACTGGCAGCACTTTATGAAGTGGAGGAAATTCCAAACAGCTACTTCAACCTACCTGCACCTAAACTCCCACTCCTAGCAACCCCTCAACAACTCCTTCATAACCTCAGAAAATTCCTCTTCTGCAAACCAAAAGACGTAAAAGAAATCAAATGCTTCACTGAACTTCTCAGACCCCACTATGGATTCAAATGTCTGCCTAGTGACTACATCGTACAAAAACCTAGACTCCTGGCAGACCCAACCTCGATCAAAACTCAAATTAACTATACCTTTCCAATACAGAACAAATCACTTGCAAAAAGCTTCTTAGCCAAAATCAAAAAGCACTACAAATTTACTATCCTACTCCCAACTGAGTACATGATAGTTAACCTAACAGACAAACCAGACCTACCTGATGACATATCCAAGATTAGTCAACTCAACCTAACTATACCGATCCGGTTATCTAAACTGCTCGTAGAAACAGCAAGAAAATTAAGAAAATACTATTACTTTTCACAACTACCAAAATCTTGAATTGAAATCTCAAGCAAACCAACTCATAATGATAAGTCTCTAATTCCTCAACATATTGACGAACTCAAATCTCAGTTAGACCAAATTAACCCGAACTAAAGGAACTAATCCCTATTCAAGATAGAGCAAAAGCCCCAGAAATCATTGAAAGGATTAAGTCTCACTTTACACTTCATACAATTCCTGAATATCTATTAATACTCCCAGACCTACCTGAACCAGACTGGGACATCTTTGACAACTACACACCTTCAAATCCCTACACAACTCACACAACACATAACAACCCAACCAACAAAGAGAAGACAAGTACACACCCGCAACAAATTTTACAACTACATCAAGAAGTGACTTACCGTCTAACACAACCAACAAAAACAATATAAATACTCTTTTAAATCAAGACACCACAACACAAATAGCAAGTCTCACAATTGCAAACCATAACATCCAGGGCCTAAACAATGATACAAAGCTACAAAACTGGTTAGAACATTGTAACGAAGAAAACTATCATATTATTATAATGACTAAAACCAAGCTACCCCAATCGACCACACCACGCACAGCCCTATCAAATCCACTCTATAAAATTTTTACAGCAAACTGCGATAAAGAAACAGCAGTCTGCCGAGAAGCAAGATTAGGTGTAGCAATCGCTATAAAGCCATACTTACAACCATATATTCATAATATACGGGAAATCCCTGGCCTACTTCTCACAATTGACTTCCACTTTCCTTACAAAAATAAACTATGACTTATCGCAACTTATATCCCATTCCAACCCAACACGGCAGCAGAAAAGGCTCAACAACAAGCAATAACACTTATTAAACAAGCAAAAGCAGATCAAATGCACACAATTGTGGCCGGTGACTTCAACAACAACATTAACCGACCCAACCCTGGAAACAAAACACCTATACTAACTCACCTCATTACATCAGGCTTTATCAGCCTTATTGATTTTCATAATATCACAGAACCAACCTGGCAACGAAATAACCAAGCAAGCCAAATTGATGACATATAGATAAATCCAGAAATAGCACTAGACTTTGAGACACCCTAACTACATTGAATGATCCATTGACATTGGAAAACTCAAAGGAAACCGATCATGGAGTATTAATCCGCCGTATTATGATGAGTGGTATGATAAAATCATACCAACGCCTCTCAAATCCAGAGCATAACCAAAGGAAACAAATTCCTTATTTTGGTTTTGAATTGTTTAAAAAACAACTTGATGAAAAAGTAAAAAGGCTTAGAAAAGAAAAACAATCCGGTGACGTCAAACTTGTTGTTAAGCAAATAATTGGAATTCTGACTAAAAAACGTCATAGAAGAGGGCCCTCCAAACACTTTGAAGTTGCAAGAGATGATTATGAAAATCGATTAAGTAAAGCAATTACCAATAATGAAAAATTGCTTTTAGCTTTACCATCCTTTCCCGTTAAATGCTGGTTCAGTATCCATTTGAAATTTAAATGATTCAATTTACCTATTGTTGCTTTCAACCTAATTTTTTTTTTTTTTTAAAAAAAAAATGACTTTAGGAATCCACTTAAAGTTGAAAGGAGAATGCCTGATCTTGCTGAACTAAACTGTTTAGGTCGTCTATACTTATTGTGCAAGGAAATAGAATCAATTTATGAACCAGGAGCAAAAGTAATTTTAATTGCCGACGGACCAATTTATGCAGACATTTTTAACGAGCCTTTGAGTATCGCTATTCAATATAAAGAAGAAGTGATAAATTTTATAAAAAGGTTAGATTGGAACAATATATAATTATGCACGATATGGTAGATCTAATTTCAAAATATTCAACTGAATTTGCCGAGGCTAAAAAAATTTCGACGATACAAGTCGAAACTTTTTGGCGTGAAAATCCTGATAATAAACATAGAAAGATGTTATTGGAGAATACTATGACCAATATTAACGTGGCAACATATTCAAAGGATTTGCTACGTTCTATATTTTTTGATACCAAATACAATCGAGATATTTCAGAATTAAAAATGGTTAAAGATGAGATTACCAAGCAAACCGAAGTTAGTGCTTTGAAGTATGCGATATTACTTCAGGCCATTAACTCTATGGAACTTGTAAAAAAATGTTATCCAGGCTGTATAAGGGTTACATGCCACCCCAAACCGGGGCAATTAGGTTTACATTTAGTATCTCCAAAAAGTTGTTTTAATTTTCCTTGGAATGGAGTAGGAGTTAAAAAGAAAAATGGTGAGATAAGCGTCTCCCTTGAGGATGAAGTGCGAAGAGACCAAAGATATGTTGCTGTTTATATAGAAGGGGAAGAGTTCCCCTTCTATTATGAAGAACAATAAATTCAAATACCCATCGTAAAAAAATTTGTTTTAATTGCGCAAACTTATATCTTACATATAAATACTGTTATCAATAAATTTATATATACAGTATATATATTGTATACTGTATATACAATATATAGCTAAATACTTTATGTAGTTTTTTGAACCAATTACAGTATATAACAGTATAATATTATTGAATAAAATGATCTGCAATATAAACAGCCAATCAAAATTTGTAATTTGCAAAAAGTTTTGACTATTCTATAAAAAAAAAAAATTGAAGCTATTTATATTAATTTATAACTCAATAATTCACATGCAAGCGGACACACAAACATCGAGTTTCTATTTTTCTATTGCAATGATAATGATTAAGAATGGTTTATACTGCATTAGAATTGAGAAATTCAGTAATGGAAAGAGGTGTAAAACTGAATTTATCATTATCAGTATCATGGTATACTGCATTATTAGATATGAAAGCTTTAAAATCATCTATAAGTGGTGGGACAGGATCAATCTTTTCTTTAAATCGGCGTTGCACATCTTTATCTTCAACTACTTCCCATTTAGAACCTTAAATAAATATAAAATTAACAATTATTAAAATTTTTGTGTTCAGAAAAAAAAATCAAACATACCAGAAGCCTCTTCAAGTTTTTGGAGTAACTCATTAAGAGTTAGAGTGAAACCAACTCTTATAATGCCATTGCGAGCCTCAGGTATTTTAAGTGATTCCGCAGTATATCTTCCAGCATCAGCTAAAGAAATAATGCGCAACTTTGCATTACCATCAGTATAGAAAGTTGCTTTCTTATTCTTAGCATCAAAACCAAATACTTCAAGGAATTCATAGAATACTCCATTGAATATATAAGTATATTCAAGACCACTTTTTTCCAATACTTCCCGGAGTTTATATTTTCCCGCAAGAATTGGATGAGGCTCCATCCTTAATTATCATTTATACATGAATATTTTAACGTAAAAAAATACAATATCAATATACAGTAAAAGAGTAAAGAACTAACCCTTGGGCAAATTCACTACCGAATTCAGATGGAATAAATCTTTTAACACCAGCTTCTTTAGAAGCATTTACAAGCATTATTTGATTATTATAATAATCACCATGACCTACAACGCTAATAAAAACATCCGTTCCTTTAATAACATTAATAAGATCATTTTTATCATTAAAATCAGCATATACAATTTTTGCTCCTTTTGATGCTAATAATTTGGCTTTTTCATTAATATTTTCTGGTTTTCTTCGAAGAGCTGTTACATTATACGATCCTTCATTTAAAAGTGCATTCGCAATATGAAATCCTAAATTTCCTGTAGCTCCAGCAATAGTTACTGTATGGAATTGTTTATCGCTCATAATAAACTATTAAACTTTTTTTTTTTAACACTAAAAAACTGTTATACAGATTTATGATGCATCAAATTAGATTTTAAAGAAATAAAATGTTACGTACAACGTTTGACAAGTACTGTATTATTTATTCACGGGAATAAAAAACTCCGACTATATGAAGGTCTAAAGGGTCCTCCATATACATACACAGTATATGTAAGTTAAATTCTTGCTTCATAATTTTACTAACCTGTTTACGATTCAGTTTATTAGTTATCTGTGTGGATTAATTGGTTTGACACTAGCGCTAGAGCTTAGATTTTAATTTTTTTAGTGACAGAAATAAATAAATTTGGGGTGTAAATTTTAGTACCAAATTATTGACCAGAATGATAACGATAACTACCGGTAATTAAAATTACTTTTTGACTGATTAATGTGTCACACATTCAGGGATGCAAGACGTGTATTTTTACTGGTAAACATCATTTTATTTATCATTACGAGTATAATGTTTTCCTTCCTTTTTACACAAAATATACGTTGTACAAGCTAATAAATTTTAACAACAAAGTATTTTAAAAGATTGACTACTATTACTTTAATAACTTGCACAAGAACTTCTTTCTGTGGATAATAATTTTTTGCAAAATTTTATATTCTTTAAATGACGAAATATGTTAGAGTAAACAGTATTATAGTATATCTGATAGAGTACAAAATTTTATATCGCAATAAAAAACTATTGTCCAAAACAAAACATTTTTTGCAAAATAATACAATACTGAAATTTTACGTAGAGTTTCTATCAGAGCAAATAATATAAGATTCAACACTTTGTTTATACAGTACTAAAAATGCACTAAAATGAAAATTAACATCACCTTGCTATTAACTTCAACTAATTAAATTCTTAATATTTGTTTAGCGTTAGATTTCTAGCTGAAAAAGATAATTTGTGTAAGTTAAACGTAAGTTTTCATTATCATTGAAGTTTTTTCTATAATTCAAAATAGATACAATATACTTATCTAAATATTTAAAATTTTTGAAGAATCAAAAAATCTGATGATTTTCTTTAATTTCACATATCACTATGATTTTCATAAATTAATTAATTTTAAATCTCATCATTTTCAATATTAAATTAATTATGAACACCTAACTTTTTTTTTTTACTGTATTTTTTCTTTATCAATATTTGTTCTCTCACAGAAAATTCTATAAATTATAATAATATTAAAATATGAATTATAAAGTTATGAAAATTCAGATATTTTAGCGATGTTTGGTCCAAAATTTTTTTATATATTAATTGGTGGTGAGGTAAACCTCTATTGTAAATGAGATAATAAATGTCACCATACCATCGATTTTAAAATAAATTTCAAGATTTCTTGCAAAATTGATGATAAATGATATCCCAAATTTAGGCGAGTGTATTTCCAATATTGATAGTTTAATAAAAATTTACCAATTTATATGAGTGCCGTCAAAGGAAAGCCTTTTATCAGACTTTCAATTATATTTATTATATTTTGTGTGCAGTTAGTCGTCTATGGAAAATCTAACATTATCATAGATTTTCGTCTGATGACAGGTTTTCCTTTGATGGCACTCGTATCATTTCTCTTACTTCAAAGATAAAAATTTTTTTCTTTAAAAAAAAATCAATAATTTCAATATTATAAAAAAATATATGCCGATAAATTGCAATTCTAAAACGCAACCCAAGGCACATGATTGAATATTACAAACCGAAATTAAATTAAAAGCACCCTAAACAATTAAACGAAGTCACACAAGTCCAAAGAAGCTTATATCGAATAAATATAAAATGATGATTTGCGATCCCAAAAACGCAACTTACAGAGAAATAATGGATATCAAATAGAAGGGCATATAATTGAATATAATAAAACTAAAATTAAACCTAATAAATTAAAAAAAAAAAAAAATCCTGAACACTAAAGAAAAATCTACGTTATAGATATCCATATATACAATGAAGTCATTAACTGTTTAGCTCACACAAATATGGCCTGAAAGTTATTAGTATTATAAATAACTTTTGCAGGTAGATCAATAAATCTTTTCGACAAGCATTCTTTCAAAAATCTTTGGTGTGATATACAACCTTTTTAAATATCTTCTAAATATTTTCCAACTTTTAAATTACCTGTGAAAGAGATACGAAAATATTTAGAAAGCTGCATATCACACCAAAGATTTTTGAAAGAATACTTGTAAAAAAGGTTTATTGTTCTATCTGTGTTTAAAATAAATTAATCAAGTTATGAAATAAAAAAACGCAAAGAGCACCTACCTCAATGGACTTAATAACGAATCTGATTGGTCTGTTTGATCAAATTAGCCAATTAGATTTTTTATTGAATTTTTTAAGGTAGGTACTTGAGAATACCCAAAAACTCTTTGTAAGTGATAGACATTTGGAGGTGAGTCAATAGAAATCAAGCAAATTTTTTATAATAAAAATTTTTTATAACTTTAAGCAAGAATAACTTAAC